CTCCTTTTTTTTTTCCTTAATAAAACCACAGAAATCATTGTTCATATACAATTTGGCAAACCAAATTTCTTATGACATGTAATTTGCACTCATCTGTTTTTTTAAAATCATTTATCTACTTAGTATTTGCATTTAATTTTGTTTTTTACTTTTCAATATAGACATCTCCCTGGTATTAACACTGCCTCACCCCTGCAAATTCTTGATTCCTAGCTATGCATTTTGATTCTCCAACTAGATTGTAAGCTGCTTGAGACAGGTTAGGTCTGCTCATTTTATATATTACCCACAGTGTCTTCTGCATAGTGGTTCAATGAATGTTGATTGGTATAAGCAAGCAACAAAAAAACTTTTAGACCTTATTGTTTATTTAACTTGGCTTTAATTTTATATTGGTTTTAGAATTGATTTCTTTTTTTTCTAGCTTAGTGATATTAGCATTTGGAAGGGAAGGTATCTCTCCTGTTATTCTGTTTATACTAGTATTTTATTCTGTTATACTAATATTGTTACTTTTAGCTTTTATTTAAAATTATTTTACCCTCAAATATGTATTATTTTATTTCTCATCTAGGGCAACTGAGCCATTAGAGTCATACTGGTTCATCTGTATTAGCATCATCATTTAAGTTGATAAGTTAAAGTCTTTAAAATAGTAGAATAGTATAGACTACTCATATAACTTGGTTACTACTTAAAACTGTACTCGCATGTTATTTTTATGTGACATGTTTTTATGTTTTGTCATTAAAGGAAGACTAATAAATGTACTTTTTGTTTATTTCAGGGTAAAGTTCATCTGGAATTAAAACTGAATGAACTCATCACTGATAATGGATCTGTGTGCCAGCAGCTTGTAGTACAGTAAGAATTGTTCTTTTACAAAGAAAAAAACAACAACAACAAACCATAAATACTTAAACTTTTATTGTTTATTGAATCTTATATCTATTAGCTTTTAATTTTTGTTATTTAGAGAGACAGCTTGGTTTTGTGGTTCGGGTGATAGACCTGAAATCAATAAAGTCTGAATTCATATCCTGCCTCACACCTGTGCTACGTGTGTGACCCTAGACAAATCACCTACTCTCTCTCAGGCTAAATTTCCTAATCTATAAAATGGAGATGACAAACAATTGCTACCTTATAAGGTTGTTGGGAGGATGAAGTGTATAAAGCATTTTGCAACCTTAAAACACGTTATAAACATTAGTTTTTATTGTTGTTGTGGTCATTACTATTGTTATTATTAGGTATTTCAAGATCTTTGGAATATCTTTAATGCTTTATTTTCTCACCCAAAATTGAATTCCAGTTTGTTTTGCGCTGCTAGTCTTTATAGGACATAGGTTATTAGTTAGATGTGTTTGCCAGCAAACTGTTCAGTTGGTTATCAGCTACCTTAGAAGTTTTCTAAAAAGATTTTGTTTTTTCCTATGATAATTGTACTCCTTTATGATCTTGTAGAAGGGACAGCTAATGTAGGAAGGAATATAGAGTGAGGGCTCCATAAAAGCATAAGGGATGCTCTTAGAGATGAAAATTACATTTTAATCTTTTCTTGAGAGAGGCAGCATGGTATGGTGCCAAGGGGTTGGATTGGAAATAACAGTTTGATTCAACATAGGCTTTAGGGATATTAATATGAAAAACAGCATAGACCCTGACCCAAACAAATTCATCATCTTTAAGCCTAGCATTGAGTCCCAGCTTTATTACTCACATGAAATGTAACCATCTCTAAGACCCTTAAAGTTCAAGAGTGATTCTGAGAAAAACACTGTGAACTAGAAAGCACTGTGTAAAGATGAGGAACTGGGCAACACAGTGGCTAGAGTGGTAGGCTTGATGACTGGATGACCTGAGTTCAAATTTAGCTTCAAATGTTTACTAGTTATGTGACCCTGGGAAAGTCACTAACCTCTCTTTTCCTATTTCCTCATCTGTAAAATGGGCTAAGTATAGCACCTACCTCCCAGGGTTGTTATGAGGATCAAGTTAGCTGTTTATTGGCATTTCAGTCATACATTTTTATAAATGTTAAATTTGTAAAATCTGCTTCTTTTTAGTTTTAAGTCTAATTTTGGGGGAAGGAGTGTCTCAGTAATAACTTAAAGAGCATAGATTGACTGTTAGACACCATAAAATGAGACTATAACTTGAACTTTCAAATTCTTTTTTTAAGATACATTTAAAAAAAATTAAAAAGCATTTATTTTCTCTCCCAAGCTTCCTCTGTGAAAGAAAAAAGAAAAACAAAACTCTTAACAAATGTATACAAATATTAACAAATATATATCAAGCAAAGCAGATTCTTCTATAGGCCACATCCAAAGGATTTTCACATTCTTACATGAAGCGAATATTTGGTAAATCTGTTGTTGGGGACATATACATAAATGACTTACTAGACTTCTCCTATGTATCAGGCGCTGAATATACATAAACAAAAATAAAATGGCCCCAGCCCTTAAGAAGCTTCTGTCAAGGGAGACATGTATCTGAGTAGAGTACATGCAAGATAACTACAAGATGATTTGGGGTGGTAGGAGGGTCCTAGCAGTTGGGAGAATCCCAGCATCTGGGAACAGTGTTTTGAAGGAAAAAAGGGATTCTCACAGGTGAGGTGGGAGTGCATTCCAGGCATGGGCAAAAGTCTGTGCAAAGTCCCCCAGCTGGACATGGGGTGTCATTAGTGATGAATAGCAAGGTCATTGTGGCTTGACTGTAGTGCTAGTGCAGGGAGGGGAGGAATGGATGAAAGGGTGGAAAGGTAGGCAAGGGCCGGGTCACGGAAGGCTTTAAAAGCTCAGCAGAGAATTCCTGGCAAAATAGCTTCCTGAGCCGGAGGCAAACTGCCAAGTTCTCACCTCCCTACTCCCGCCAAACTTTAGTATAATGATTAGGAAATCTGTCTGATGAGAAACTACTAGAAGTGACTTCTTCCACTCCAGGATGGCAAAATTTTGAGCCAGGAGCCCATGGGCAGTAAGAAAGGGGATTTCTGCGGCAGAGAAGGTACCAGCACAACCAGGGCCATAAAGTGTGTGTCCAAGTAACAGTAATAGGGAGGTATGGAAGGGAAGAGGTTTGGGGTTTTTTGTTGTTTTTTTTTTGGAAGGGGGACGCATAATAAGTTCTGTTTTGTACATATTGAGTTTCAGATGTCTAGGGAACATCTAATTTGAGATACCCAAAAGGCAGTTGGTGATATAGAACTCAGCTAGGGAAAGAAATTAGGGCTAGATATGGAACTATGCCCAAAAGGCTATAAAGCTGTGCATACCTAATCTTTGACCCAGCAATAATACTTCTAGGGCTGTATTCCAAAGAGATCATAAAAATGAGGAAAGGACTCACATGTACAAAAATATTTATAGCAGCTTCTTGCAGTGGCAAAGAATTGGAAATTGAGGGGCTGCCCATCAGCTGTCCAAGTCCAAGAAGACTGTGTCCAGAGGTACCAAGACTCCTCTGAGAAAGCCCCAGGTGATCAGAACTTCCCCACAAAGGATCTTGGAAGCCCTAGGGAGGTAACAGCCAGTAGTACTAAGGAGCTTAGTACCACAGTGCAGGCTCAGGACCTCTGAGGTATCTAGCTCTTTGTCTTAAGATGCTAGAAAGTGCCCTGAGGATCCAGCATTTGGAACCTCAAAAATCTAGCAAGTAGAGATTAGTGCAGTAAAGAGATGCTATAAACGTGTGTGTGCATATAGATTCTTTTCCTATCTCTTTGATCTCTTTAGGGTAAAGATCTAGTGAACATAGTTCTGAATTGCTTTCCAGAATGGTGAAACCAATTTACAGTTCCACCAACTGGGTACCATTGTTCCTGTCTTCCTGCAGCCTCCTCAAAAGGGCCATTTTCCTTTTTGCCATCTTTGCCAATCTGATAAGTACAAAGTGAAACCTCATTTGTTTTCATTTGTATTCCTCTCAATGATTTATAGTATTATTTTCATACTACTGTTGTTTTTTTATTTTTTTCCCTTGGAAACTTGCATATTCATATCCTTTTGCCATTTATTTATTGGGAAAAGCATAGACAAACTTCTTGAAAAAGTTGTCTTTATTCCATTCCTCCCATCCTTCCCTCACACCCTTATAACAGGACCTTTGCCCCCCCTACTTTACTGAAGCCTTTATCAGAGATCATCAGTGACCTCCTAATTGCCATACCCATTGATCTTTTTTCTGTCATCTTCCTCATTGGCCTCGCTCTTAGCATTTATCACTTGACTAACCATCCTTTTTCCCCTCATCCTAGATTTCCTGTGTTCCTTTGCCTTTAGGAGTGCCATGCTCTTCTGATATTATTGCTACTTGGGTATTTTCCTAGGGATCTGTCCTGGGCCCTCTTTTCTTCTCTTCTCTTCTCTTCTCTTCTCTTCTCTTCTCTTCTCTTCTCTT